AGTTCTTGCTGGATCGTGTTTCCAAACCACCCGCAGCAGCCAGGGGCCGAAGCTCATCTCTTGATATTCCCGACTGCAGAGCACTACGGAGCCATTCCACACCATGTGAAACAGCTCCTACGCGAAGTTCTTCCAATTTGGCACCCGATCCAACTTCCTACAGGCCAACAGCATGCAACACACCGCAACCACAAAACATCACTCATCCGACAACATTGAACCATGTAACCAACATTCAACTTTCGTCATATCCCTTTTCTGCCACACCCGACCTGCGTTGGGGTTGCCAAGACTTCCAACAATCGAGCGCGCAGCTCTCCAACCGCGAGCCACTTCTTGTCCGGTCCACGGCCAACATTCCGAGCACTTGCCATTTTGCGAAGCTCCAGTGCGGAAATTTCTTCCAGGGCCCCCTGGAGCCATTCACGGCCCCTGGTCACACTACTGCTACGCAGCTCCTGCAACCGAATTTCCACGGCATTGGACGACGCGGTCGCCTGCTCCATTCGCACGGACAATCCCGTCAGCAAATGAAACAGTGACCACAATGCTTTCACAAGTGTCACGGGTGCGCAACTTGAACCAAACATTTTGGATGCAGATAGTGCTCACTAGCAAGCATGTTCACCGACATCTCTGTCATTTCCATGTTGTCCACCAAGAACAAAAGCCGCAACACAAACAAATTTCCAAAAATGTACATCGTGACTGCCATCATCACCCTCACTGCAACTAAAGCAACCGAGCTCCACACATTGCTAGCGCGGGTGCTATCAATCATCCATCCTCAGCCGATGTCCAACAGTTCTGTATTATCATGCTAAGCACAAATCAATCCTTGCAGTCACATGCCACCCCAACAGAGCATGGAACAATCACAAAACACAATCTCCAAAGAATCAATGCAAGACCATATCCACAGAAAAAAGATGTCGCGAGTAGTACTTTCAAGGCATCTCTGCATTTACTTGAGGCTCGCACCAAACGATTCTTTTGTAGAAAATGCAGTTGAATGCCGCTCGCACAGACTTGTGCGGTAAAACTCCATGCTTGAATTCGAACAATCAGAAAACACAATCTCCAAAGAATGAATGCAACACCATGTCCACAGAGACAGAACACAGACACCGTTACCCACAGACCATTTTACACACAAACGCTTTTACACACAGACACTTTTACACACAGAAGCTTTTACACACAGAAGCTTTTACACACAGACTATTTAACACACAGACACTTTTACACACAGAAGCTTTTTTACACACAGAAGCTTTTACACACAGCTTTTACACACAGTCACTTTCACACACAGAAGCTTTTACACACAGACGCTTTTACACACAGTCACTTTCACACACAGAAGCTTTTACGCACAGACGCTTCTGCACACAGACGCTTTTACACACAGAAGCTTTTACACACAGACACCTTTACACACAGACGCTTTTACACACAAACGCTTTTACACACAGACACTTTTACACACAGACCATGTTACACACAGACCTTGGGGCTCCGACCAAACGATTCTTTTGTAGAAAATGCAGTTGAATGCCGCTCGCACAGACTTGTGCGGTAAAACTCCATGCTTGAATTGGAGCAATCAGAAGACACAATCTCCAAAGAATGAATGCAACACCATGTCCACAGAGACAGAACACAGGCACCGTTACACGCAGACCATTTTACACACAAACGCTTTTACACACAGACGCTTCTGCACACAGACGCTTTTACACACAGAAGCTTTTACACACAGACACCTTTACACACAGACCATTTTACACACAAACGCTTTTACACACAGATGCTTTTAAACACAGAAGCTTTTACACACAGACACTTTTACACACAGAAGCTTTTAAACACAGAAGCTTTTACACACAGAAGCTTTTACACGCAAAAGCTTTTACACACAGAAGCTTTTACACACAGAGGCTTTTACACACAGACGCTTTTACACATGTTACACGCAGACCCTTTTACATACAGACGCTTTTAAACACAGAAGCTTTTACACGCAGACCCTTTTACACACAGAAGCTTTTACACACAGACGCTTTCACACACAGAAGCTTTTACACACAGAAGCTGTTACACACAGAAGCTTTTACACACAGAAGCTTTTACACACAGAGGCTTTTACACGCAGACTCCTTTACACACAGAAGCTTTTACACACAGAGGCTTTTACATACAGACCCTTTTACACACAGACGCTTTTACACACAGACGCTTTTACATACAGAAACTTTTACGCACAGCAGCTTTTTTAACACACAAACTCTTTCACACACAGAGACCGGACCCGTGAAATCGCAATTTTTCCTCATGCAGTTTTTGACGTCCAACGTCCATTTCGTGCGAAAGGGTTGCGATGGACTAACTAAAATCGCAATTTTACCTCAGTTCTTGACGACCAACGTCCATTTCGTCCGAAAGGGTTGCCCGTGACACCTCAAAATCACAATTTTACCTCAGTTTTTGACGTTCAACGTCCATTTCGTGCGAAAAGGTCGCGATGGACAAAGAAAACCGCAATTTTTCCTCAGTTTTTGACGTCCAACGTCCATTTCGTCCGAAAGGGTTGCCCGTGACACCTCAAAATCGCAATTTTATACCTCAGTTTTTGACGATCAACGTCCATTTCGTGCGAAAGGGTTGCGAGGGGACAAGTTAAATCGCAATTTTACCTCAGTTTTGGACGTCCAACGTCCATTTCGTGCTAAAGGGTTGCGTTTCGTGGCGCTCCGGCGGCACCGCCCCCGCCTTAAGAGAGAGATAGAAAGAAGAGAGAGAGGAGATCTGCAGATGTGAAGGTGTGAAGATGTAGATCTGCAGATGTGAGGGTGTGAAGATGTAGATCTGCAGGTGTGAGGGTGTGAAGATGTAGATCTGCAGATGTGAGGGTGTGAAGATGTAGATCAGCAGATGTGAGGGTGTGAAGATGTAGATCTGCAGATGTGAGGGTGTGAAGATGTAGATCTGCAGATGTGAGGGTGTGAAGATGTAGATCTGCAGATGTGAGGATGTGAAGATGTAGATCAGCAGATGTGAGGGTGTGAAGATGTAGATCTGCAGATGTGAGTGCGTGAAGATGTAGATCAGCAGATGTGAGAGTGTGAAGATGTAGATCAGCAGGTGTGAAGGTGCGAAGATGTAGATCAGCCAATGTGAGAGTGTGAAGATGTAGATCAGCAGGTGTGAAGGTGTGAAGATGTATATAACGGCTGCTTTTTTACGAAGAACCCTTCGCAGGCGCTCCAAAATTGAGAGCCTTGATTGAGAGCCTTGATGCAGCCACTCCAATACGATTTACGGTGTCCAGCTGCAAAAGACAATAGTATTACGCATGCAGCCGCGGCGCCAAGCAACCTTGACGCAGCCATTACACTGCGTTTTGCAGACCTGCACGTATCTAAGCACATGGCAACACCAGATGACAACAATCATGCAGCCGTTCCAATGCGATCTGCAGCCGGAGATTCAAGAAACACATAGAACTACGCACACAGGAACAACCACTCGTTGCCGAACACAGGGGAGGAACCAAAACGACCCCAGCCGCAACCACCGCACACACGAAGTACCTTTCATCGCCGGCCGAAGCCACTTCACACGGAAAAACACAAGTTTCGTGCTTCCTCCCCAAAACAAAGCCCATGCAACATTCATGCAGCCATTCCAAGGCGATCTGCAACCACAGATTCAAGAAACGCATAGAACTACGCACACAGGAACAACCACTCGCTGCAGAACACAGAGGAGGAAACCTGATTCGCGCATTTTGGTTTCTGATTCGCGCGGTTTTTGGTTTCTTATTCGCGGGATTTTGGTTTCTGATTCGCGGATTTTAGTTTCTGATTCGCAGGTTTTAGTTTCTGATTCTCAGTTTCTGATTCGCGCGGTTTTGTATCCGATTCCTATATTTTAGTTTCTGATTCGCGCGGTTTTTGGTGTCTGATTCGTGGGACTATGGTTTCTGATTCGCGGATTTTAGTTTCTGATTCGCGGCTTTCAGTTTCTGATTCTTTGTTGCTGATTCGCGGAAAAACTCTGAATCGAGGTTTGTTCAGCATGCAACATTCATGCAGCCATTGCGATGCATTGTGCAGCATTCCCTTCGTCACCACTGCCCTTCCTCACCACTTCCCTTCATCACCACTTCCCTTCGACACCACTTCCCTTCATCACCACTTCCCTTCGTCGCCACTTCCCTTCCTCACCACTTCCCTTAGTCACCACTTCCCTTCCTCACCACTTCCCTTAGTCACCACTTCCCTTCATCACCACTTCCCTTCGACACCACTTCCCTTCCTCACCACTTCCCTTCGTCACCACTTCCCTTCCTCACCACTTCCCTTAGTCACCACCTCCCTTCCTCACCACTTCCCTTCGTCACCACTTCCCTTAGTCACCACTTCCCAAAGTCACCGCACTCCCTTCGTCACCACTTCCCAAAGTCACCACTTCCCATCCTCACCACTTCCCTTCGTCACCATTTCCCTTCGTCTCACCACTTCCCTTCGACACCACTTCCCTTCCTCACCACTTCCCTTCGTCACCACTTCCCTTCCTCACCACTTCCCTTAGTCACCACTTCCCTTCCTCACCACTTCCCTTCGTCACCACTTCCCTTAGTCACCACTTCCCAAAGTCACCGCACTCCCTTCGTCACCACTTCCCAAAGTCACCACTTCTCGTCCTCACCACTTCCCTTCGTCACCATTTCCCTTTCTCTCACCACTTCCCTTCGTCACCATTTCCCTGGTCACCGCTGCCCTTCGTCACCACCCTGTGTCATAGCCTATGATTCTTTTGTGATGTATTGTTATGTGATGTCAAGTCTCACACCGCCCTTCATCAATATCAAGTCTCACATTTCTATTTGTCCGTAACACGGAAGTATTGCTTCCCAACTTCCTTTGATAATAGAGTATAATATATATATATATATGTATATATATAATTGTATATATTTCTCCAAGTGCCCAGGCCATTCAAAAGCGTCTCAGAAAGGGTGGGTGCTTCTCGCAGGATGTGCTCGGCAACATCTGGTTGGAGCCTTGCCATGCCAGAAAGTAGGGAAAGCCGAGAAAGGGAACAAATTGAGGTCCTGAGGTCTACAAGTTGTACAGATTCACACCTTTCAAAACTTCAAACTCAAACCACTTTTGATATTAATATCAAAAAAAATATCAATATATTTTCACATATTATCCAAGAATTTGAAAGCGTCTTTGATTTGGCACTGCTTCTGCGGCACGGTTCCTGAAAAGATCGTCAACACCATAATAGTAGCGGTCTCTATCCTTGGCAAACACGAAGCTCAAATCTGCAAAAAGCGACGCGGTCCGATGCACAAAACAACGTCCTGGAGCCGCTTTACAGCACAAGTTCTTGGACCGTGTCACTGTTCCTCACTGTTCGTCACTGGTCCCATCATGTCCCTGGTTCAGCTCTGTCATCTCTGTCCAGCTCTGCTCCAGCTCTGCTCCAGCTCTGCTCCTCTGCCACCAGGACTCGGCTCGGATTGTGAGGATGTCTTGAATCATGAAATTCGCTGCTGCGTGCGCACCGCTCCTACGGCACAGAGCGGAAGTGGTGTCAGCCACTTGACATCAGAGTTCAGATGTCTCAGCGGAGTCGCATCATGAAACCACGAATTCACAATGAATATAATGAATTATCAGTTATACATAGTTATACATCAGTAGTTATCAAAAATTCTGGAACATTCCGGTCCTGAGAGCCCAATACAAAGGTGAAATTGACTGGCTACCAACCCGAACGCGCAGTTGCCAGCTGCTGCGATCAGCCTTGGGCACAAAACAGGGCTTCAGAATCATTTGAGAAACGGATGGGCCGAAAGAGATCTGTTTCAACATGTTGGAACTGTTGGAAGGCTGGGACGGTAAGTTTTAAAAAGGTGAACCGCGTCAAAAACATCCAAAAACTTTAACATGAATGAACATGAGAAAAGCATTGGAGATGTCATGAAATATCTGTAATCGCAAAAGCATCAGAATAGCGATAGTTTCGCCACACAAGAGATTGTAAAGACCCTCCTGCGCCTAACCAGACTATTTCGAGGCTCTGTTCAAAAATGCGGACGACAAACATGTTCCAAAGGTATCCAAAGATATCCAAAGGTATCCAAGGTATGTGTGCACTGGTGTGCTCCATGACTTGGAGGCACGGGCCAGGCATGGAACACTGAACTTCTGAGAATTTCTGAACTGTATTTTTGGTATCTTTACGTTTCTTTTGGCCTCTTATACATTCTTAAACGTCTTAAAAACGTCTATAACGTCTTAGACTGTCCCTTATGGCAGTCAACTTTGGGGGATGCATTGAGTTCGCCCATCACTTTTTGGCAGTTTAGCATGAATTGCGAGGAGTGGAGTCATTCCAGGGTCAACCCTGGTGGTAATTCTTATGTCCCTGTCAATTTGCAACACAAAATTCTTCTCTGACCTTTAAAGATTTTGGCTACAATGACCTCAGACCCATCTCAACAAATCTCAACAATTCTCATCTGAACATTCTGAGCATCTCGTTTTGCCAAGACGCTCTTGGAGCTTCACGGAGGGCTTTGCGCAAGCGCTTGGAATCATCTTGGTTGATGGCTTGCCTTGGCAAAGTTCTGCTCGGTTCTTGCTCGGTTCTCTCAATTTGCTACACTGAACCTGTCGGTGGAAGTAGAACCATGCTGCATTGGGCACCTCTGTTAGAAGATGTTAGAAATATTATATAATTATACAAGTATGTTCGAGTATGCTTTGCTTTCAACTTTCAAGGCTTCTAACATGTAGACTTGCATTGATTTGCGTTTCTTCATCTTTCTTTCTGCGTCATTGTGTTCCCAAGAATGCCAAGTTGCATAACTGCAGTGGAACCTTCTGTGATGGTACGCACCAGTACCCGTGCTACCAGGCCTCTGCAACAAAACGGAAAACCCAAATGAAGCAAAAGGATGCAAAACACCAGAGACCAGGCAGCAATGCAGCATGTGGGTTTGTCATACGTAGACTAACTCCAAACATCTTCAAACTCCAAACCATCCAAGTTGCCGATAGACCAGCGGAAGCCCTCTATCATCATATGCTCAGGGAGGTCGTTTTCCTTGGGCGTCCAGTGAACGTCAAACATGTCAAGTTGATCAATTGTGCTTGAGAACCTAGTTAGATTCTGCCTATAGGAATCGGCTCACCTGGCTACAGGGAATGACTGGTTGAAGGGGGCGAAGAAAGGATATTCATCAAATACTCACACTCTACTCAGGATCTTGCAGTGCAATTGTGTTCTTGCAAACTTTAGCTAAAAATAAATTTCCACCCTGCAATCTCACAATATCTGACACAGTCTCTGCTCGATCTGCTTCTACTTCTAGTCGAAACGTGCAAATTGCGCAGATATGTCCACTCAATGCGCTTTGCCAAGAGTCTGGCAATTGATGTGCTCGATCTGCTGGGCACCAAACAAGTTTCACAGAATCCTGAAGCTGTCAAATAGTGACAAGTAAATAGTGTCGAAGGCGTAAAACGGATTGAACTGGTATCCAAGATGCATTTTGGTAGAGTTTGGGTCTTGGCAAAGAAGCTGAAACAACGCATCAAAAAAATATACAAACATTGCTTTTGAATTTAACAGTTTCCGTGCCGAGAAACGTCTTTGGAAAAAGCTTCAATTAAGGGCTTCATGACTTCCACGCAGGAATCCGTGAAAGGCGCAAAGAGTTCGACAGGAACGCCGTAGCCTGCGCGCCATAACTGCTGCTCAGCTTGGCATGTCGTGGTGAGTCGTGGTGAGTCGTGGTGGCCCGTGTGGTCCGCTGGGAAACACAACATCTCGGACTGCTGGGACTTCATCGATCCATTTTTCCCGAATGCGTAGCAAGGGTTCCCGTTTCACTCTGGGGGTCTGGGGGTTGAGGGTGTCGCTCGACGTTGCGTTTGTGGTCGCAACCGTTCGCAACCGTTCGCAACCGCCGTTCGAAACCGTTCGCAACCGTGCGCAACCGTTCGCAACCGTCCGCAACCGTCCGCAACCGTCCGTACGAACTCCGTATGGCCGTGCCTATGGGAAGTTCTGCAGAGGTGGTCATTTTTGGAGGTTTCCAATGTGTCGTTGTTTCGTTTCGCGTGGCAGGCGTGGCACTTCGTGACATTAAGACGTGTTCTGCAACGTGACGAAAATCGTTTTGCGTGGCAGGCGCAATACTTTTGCGACGTTTTCAGAAGATGTGTTGCAGTTTTCGTGGCAGGCGCAGCACTTTGGACGTGTCCATCGTCATTTTTCGTGGCAGGCGCAGCACTTTAGACGTGTCGTGTTGCGTGTTTTGTGCAAATCACATTGGCAGGGCTGCGTCAAGTGGCGACAAGGTGCAAATTCCGTGGCAGTCGTGGCATTTTGTGCGATGTGCTGAAAATTGACGGAAGCCTCGCACGAAACATCGATTTTGAGGTTGCAAATTTTCAGGTTCTAAGGAAAACTCGTAGGAAAACGTCGATTTTGAAGCTACAAAGTGTGAAAATTGGAGGAAGTCTCGCACGAAATGCTCGTTTTGGTGCTCCCACCTCTCTCGTCTCGCGTCTCTGGTTTTCCCGTGGCCTCGCCGTGTCTATGGGGGAAGCTGCAAAACGTGTCCTTTTGTCATGTTGCCAACTGTGAAAATTGGAGGAAGTCTCGTACGAAATGCTTGTTTTTCTGCATCCACGTGTCTTGTCTCGAGTCGCTGGTTTTCCTGTGGCGTCGCCGTGTCTATGGGGGAAGCTGGAAAACCTCTCCTTTTCGAATGTGTCCAAGCAGGTTGTCATGTCGTTTTGCGTGGCAGGCGTGGCACTTTGTGACATTCCAACCTGTTTGATAACGTGTCGAAAATATCAAGCTTGGAGGAAGTCTCGCACGAAACGCTCGTTTTTTTGCACCCACGTGTCTCGTCTCGAGTCTCTGGTTTTCCTGTGGCGTCGCCGTGTCTATGGGGGAAGCTCCGCGCTCCACACTCTACACTTTACACTCCACACTTTACACTTTGCACTTTACATTCCTCACTCCTCACCTGAGACTTTGCACGCCACACTCCACACTTTACACTACACTCTACACTTTCCACTCCTCACTCCTCACTCTACACTTTACACTCCGCACTCTACACTTTACACTCCACACTCCACACTTTAGACTACACACTCCTTACTCTACACTCCACACTTTACATTTTACACTCCACACTCCACACTCTACACACCACACTCTACGCTTTCCACTCCACACTCCATACTCCACAGTCTACACTTTACACTCCAAACTCCACACTTTACACTTTACACTCCGCACTCCACACTCTACACTCCACACTCCCCACTTTACACTCCACACTCCACACTCTACACTTTCCACTCCACACTCCGCACTCCACACTTTCACACTCCACACTTTATACTTTACACTCCTCACTCCACACTCCACACTTTACACTCCTCACTTTACACTCCACACTCCACACTCTACACACCACACTCTACACTTTACGCTCCACACTCTACACTTTACGCTCCACACTCCACACTTTACACTCCACACTCCACACTTTACACTCCACACTCCACACTCCTCACTCCACACTCCACACTTTACACTGCACACTTTACACTCTTCACTCCACATTTTACACTCCACACTCCTTTCTTTACACTCCACACTTCACACTCCACACTTTCCACTCCACACTCCACACTTTACACTCCACACTCCACACTTTACACTCCTCACTCCACACTTTACACTCCACACTCCCACACTCTACACTTTACACTCTACACTATACACTCTACACTCCACACTTTACACTTTTCACTCCACGCTTTCCACTTTACACTCCACGCTTTCCACTTTACACTCCTCACTCCACACTTTACACTCCACACTCTACACTTTACACTCCACACTCCACACTTTACACTCCACACTCCACACTCTACACACCACACTCTACACTTTCCACTCCACACTCCACACGCTACACTCTACACTCCACACTCTACACTTTACACTCCACACTTTACACTCCACACTCCACACTTTACACTCCACACTCCGCACTCCTCACTCCACACTCCACACTTTACACTCCACACTCCAAACTTTACACTCTTCACTCCACATTTTACACTCCACACTCCTTTCTCTACACTCCCCACTTCACACTCCACACTTTCCACTCCACACTCCACACTTTACACTCCACACTCCACACTTTACACTCCTCACTCCACACTTTACACTCCACACTTTACATTCCACACTCCACACTCTACACTCCACACTCTACACTATACACTCTACACTCCACACTTTACACTTTTCACTCCACGCTTTCCACTTTACACTCCACGCTTTCCACTTTACACTCCTCACTCCACACTTTACACTCCACACTCTACACTTTACACTCCACACTCCACACTTTACACTCCACACTCCACACTCTACACACCACACTCTACACTTTCCACTCCACACTCCACACTCTACACTCTACACTCCACACTCTACACTTTGCACTCCACACTTTACACTCCACACTCCACACTTTACACTCTACACTTTACACTCTACACTTCACAGTCTACACTTCACACTCTACACTTTACAAACTCCACACTCCTCACTCCACACTTTACACTCCTCACTTTACACTCCACACTCCTCACTCCACACTTTACACTCCTCACTTTACACTCCACACTCCACACTTTGCACTTTACACTCCTCACTCCACACTCTACAGTACACACTACACTCCACACTCCACACTCTACACTTTGCACTCCATGCTCCACACTCTACGCATTACACTCCGCATTCTACACTTTACACACTCTACACTCCCCACTGCACACTTTACACTCGACACTCCTTACTTCACACTCCACGCTCCACACTCTACACTTTCCACTCCACACTGCAGACTGGTAACAAGGGAAACATGTACAAGACTGTTCAAATAAACTATTGCAGAAAGGTATTGTGCGTGGCTGCATACCCATGTGTTTTGACATCTGTACCATTAACATACGTGTGAGCATTCGGGTTCGTGGGCTTCATCTTGTTTTGGGAATCAAACGCAAAATCCCAAAGCAACATATTGCAACATTACACAAAACAGTCTTGACGCTTTCATTTGTCGTTTTTGATTTTCTGCACCAATACTACCTAGTACCTCTTGCTTCTTTTAAATGCCAAACTCGCGGTCCCGGGACACAGGGAAAACGATGGAAAACTGTTTGATTCTTCCCGTTGGGTTCCTTTGAAGCCTTTGAGCATGACACCTCAATGCCCCCCACTGCATGCTGAATCTGCGCAAAAAAATGAAAACAGTGACAATAACAGCAGATAACAGCAGTTCATTCAGCAAACCATTGTGGGTGGCTTCAGTAGTGTCGCCTACATGACGCAAGCCCAGCGCAGATAGATCATCCACCATTTCCTTGCATGAAAAGCTTCGGCCAGGGTGGACTATGTTGACTATATACTATGTATACCATTGTATGGCATCATATGGCATCGTATGGCTATATTAGGTCCTCACAGGTCGCCCGCTACCCATAGCTTAAGCCGTAACCACTGGCCCCCACAAGTCCACAAAAGCTGGCAAACGTCAAACAAAATCCACAGGTCCCGCTATCCAGATGAATCCAACCCCTATCCGAATCCGAAAAGAATTTACTTGAGAGTTAATTCACCAGGGTCCGAAGCAGCAAGAATTAACTCTGGAGGTAAATCCTTCGAGGAGAGTAGTGGATTACCACAATCTAAAAACTAAACTCCAGACTCCAGAGTTAATACCTTCACAAACTCTTGTTTTTACATCTTTATACATCTTTTACTCTATTTCAAAGATTCGTCTTTTGGCTTGTGGAACATGTCGTAGGAAGATCGCAGCACGCGGTCTGCAATGTAGCGAAGCCTTGTTTGCGACCTCAGATCCAAACCTTCCTGGGTCGTCATCCGAATCTATAAAATTAAATGACTAATGTATGACATGACTAATGTATGACAATCACTGACAATCGATAATGTATGATAATGTATGACAATGTATGATTGCAAGAATATTGTGACTTCAGATGAATTCAGGTTCACAGTTCGGGTTGCTTGTCTGCCTTGTGCCATCTTGTCCCCCTTGTGCCTACCACATGGGATTCAACATGATTCAAGGTGCCAAAACCTTATCCTATCGAGAAAAAATCGCCAAGAACGCCCAACCGGTCAACGCTGCTGGGCCGCTGTTTAAACAAATCTTGGCTTGCAGAACACTTCGAGAAGAACTCCTGAAGCGAGGCACAAAGGGACGCATCGCATGAATAGTTTTGTCTGCCATGCAACTACAGTAATTAAATCTTGCTCAAGAAATAAAAAGTAATCAAGCACCAAGCTTGTTCGACCATCAACCCAGTTTTGAGTCGTTATGGTGCATATTTGAGAGCTCCGTGTAGACGGTGCTGCGAAAATGCTCAAGCTGCCTCAAAAGATCCAGTAATCCACGTTGAAATCAATTCGCTCAAACAGAACTTGTCAAGGGCTGAATGATGCGGCAAATGAACACAAGAAACGGAAAAAAGAAACACAGATGGTTGACCAATACCGGAACGATCCGGGACGGCACAGGCATGTTGCCACGTGTGAATCTTACAACGTGCTGCACTTTGCTGCACTTTGTACCTGTAAAATGGCACAAGACTTTGAAGACTCCATGAGCTATCTACCTTCTTCTCGTAAACTTTTTCAGACAAGGGACTCCTCACCAAGCAAACAGAAGAGTCTGGCACTGTGCGGCTTGAATGCCCTCACCTTGGGAAAACGAATCCGAAGCGGGTTGCCCAACTAAGGTGCCAAGCACCCACTCACAGCAGCAAAAAATAACGAAGATAGATTTGGCTACATATTTGGTTGCTCTATCTTGCTTTATCCAAGTTATCCGCGATTCAGGACGCGACAATTTGCTACCACTGCTGCTGTGCTTGCTCTGTTGTCGTCCGTAAGATATAGCACCAGGCAATAAGCAAGTGAGTCATAGTGAGTCCCTCTTGGCGCTTAAACAATTTCAAACTTGCGTAAACTTTCTACCTCCCTTGACTCGCTATGAATTGCATGCCAGTTGGACCACAGTGTGGCACCTCACGTTAAGGCCATGGCTTTCATAGTGGCTTCCGTGAGGTTGCGGCTGATGGTGGCCCACAGCCACTCCCAGGCAGTCTCATGGATTGTGCTCCACCTTTGCGGAAGCCTCAAGGGTAGACAGGGTAGACTCGGGTAGAAAGCAAAGTCGAAGTGGAGACAAAGAAAAAAATGAAAAACAGTAAAAACAAAAGGAACAGGAAGACCTTGACACCGACAGCAGAAGCACGAACAGAAGCGACAACATGAACCAAAGATTCAGCCAAACTCAATGGTAAACGTCTCAGAAACCCTTCTTGATGATAGGCTCGAGAGAACCACAGACATGCACTGAGCAACAGTAACTGCCTAGCTGCCACGCCCACAATCAGAAAGAAACAAACACCGCTGACATCAGCTGAGCAGTGTTCAAAACCCTCTCTCATCCCTTGATGTTGGTTGGTTGATAGGGATTCCCATAATGGATTGTGATGATCCTGAATATATCGGTTAATATAATCCCCTATAATTAATCATCAATAAACCGAGGTTTTGTACACTGCCGGCCGACTTGGAACATACGTCCGAGCAAGTACAAAATCAAATGGTAACAAATGGGATTGACCCAATTAAACAGGCAAGAACAGTTTCTCCTTACGACAAGAATCAACGAGCGCAGGGCTGCAAGCATCACAGGTTTGAACTTATTAAAGTCGATCTCCTGCGACGAGAAAAAATACTCAATAGATGAAAGAAGACTCAAAGCAAACCTTAAGAGAAAAAACTTTCAATGCACCACCATGGTGAAGATGGCAAAACAATGTGGAACATGGATCCAGAGAAAGGAACAGGGAAGAAACCCAAAACGGAGGTCTTTAACATTCTATAACCATGAAGCGTGGAAAACACAATGCATTCCCGCTCCTCTGACTTTGCAATCATGCTGATGGACAGTAGATCACATTCCTGCGCAAGCAGCAAACATATGTAGAATTAATTATGTAGAATTCATACATTCGTGCATGCTACGCTCGCAAACAAAAGAATAGACATCGAATTACTGTATACACACTCATACAATCACATAGAGATGTTGCATATAATTACAATTACATAATAGCTTTTATACCAGTAGTACCGCACAAGGCGGTGGCGGAAGTTTCAAAAATAGGAAACCTATAGGAGAGGTTGGTTGTTGTGAATCACGGATGGCAGAGCGAATCCACTGATGGACCGACAGGTGGTTGGAGTTATGTTTTTTGGAATGGTTGCAATGGTTGCAGTGGTCACCTTACCAACTGCTGGATGTAGTGTGGTGTAGTGCAGTTGTAGTTGCAGTTGTAGCTGTAGTTGTAGTGTAGTGGAGCTGTAGCTGTAATGTCGTGTAATTAGTGTATTTGCAGGTGCAGTTGCAGTTGTAGCCGCGGTGTGGTGTACTTAGTGTAGCGTAATGCAGCGTAATGTCGTGTAGTGTTGTGTAGTGTAGTGTGGTATAGTGTAGTGTAGTCTAGTGTAAGGTAGTGAAGTTGTAGTTGTAGCGCATTGCAGTGTAAATAGTGTAGCGTAGTGCAGTTGTAGTTGTACTTGCAGCATAATTAGTGTAGTGTAGTGTAGTGTAGTGCAATGTAGTGGTAGTTGTAGTTGCAGTTGCGGCTGCAACTGTAGTTGTAGCGTAATGCAATGTAATCAGTGTAGTGTAGTGTAATGTAGTGGTAGTTGTAGTTTTAGTTGCAGTTGCATCTGCAGCTGTAGTTGTAGTGTAATGCAATGTAATCAGTGTAGTGTAGCGTTGTGTAATGTAGTGTGGCTGTAGTTGCAGTTGTGATTGTAGTTGTA